ATATTCGCTGGATTTTATTTTCACTGAATCATTCCTTCAGCGAAAATAGCGAAAATTTATTTGAAGCGAAAATAAAGTACTGTAAAATAAATGTAAAATTTTCACTGGGTTTAAACTTCACTGATTTAGCATTTCAGGCATATTTAGTGGGTTTTAAATTCACAGTTTTATCATTTAGATAATATGTTCTATGCTAAATTTTACATATTCACTGGGTTTTAATTTAGCACATTTTCCAGTCAGCGAAAAAAGCGAAATTAAAACCCAGTGAATAATTATCCCCTTTACAGTATTCTACAGTATACGGTACTAAAACACCACACAAACTGACAGAATTGGATATTTTTACGGAACGGTTCCCTGTACAAGTCAATATGAATTACAGTACTTACTTGTTTATTCATGGTCTGCATGGCTTTAGTAACGCCTTTCATAGCCTTCGCCATTTCATTATTCGACCTTAATGTCTGTACTTTGAGAGACACTGCCTGTATATTGGCTCTCATCATGATAAACTTTTTAACATATCTTCTCGTCCTCACCAAATCTTTCGCCATTATTTTAACAGCGTCCTATGGAATAAACATTAAATTGTTGACTTGTGCATGGAGAAAGTTGAACTAATTTTTACCATTTTGTTCAGTTTTGGGTTTCATACAACAAAGTGGTTGGATTGGGAATAATTATAATAAGAAGGTTATTATATGAGGATAGTATAAAGTATGCACTCAGACAGTACAGCATTGCAACAACATTGCTGATACTCAAATGCTCAACTGTCTTTGTGTATAGGCCCTGCCTTTTGAAAATGGACTGTGATTAAAATCACTTCAAAATGGTATGGATTGATAATTAGCATTGTTGGGTCTTGATTTGGACAAGTGATAGATGAGTGGACTTACTGTGGTATCCTCATACAATGTAATAACCCCCATATTATATTAATTTAGGTAAGTCCAGGTAAAAAAAAAAACTGTTTCTGCCTTGAAATTTCAAAATCATTCAAGAAGGCATTTTATTTTTCTAGAAGATATGGTGGATGCAACTGCCGAATACAAATCAAACAATGAAATAAGAGGCACTGTGAATTGCACTCAACTTATCACGATGACACTTACAAATATTGTATTTTTACCTAAAAAAATGTCCTGAGCGCTTTAGTTCTGTTGGCTAGTGGGCAGAAATTAGAATTTTCTTTCCCTGCCTAACTGTCTCAACCAGGATAATCAGATGGGTGCACAAAATTTAAAACATGTGTTACTGTTTTGGACTTGCATGCATGGCACAGTCCTCGTTAATTATCAAATTTAAGATATACATTTTTGTTTATGGTAGTTGAAACATAAACATGTCTGAGATCCAGAAGCTGATGCTTGATTATGATGAATTTTTAATATTGAAATGGTTGACATTCAGTCATTTTGTATCTGATCATCAAACAAGTACTTGTCCATATTGAGAGGTATTGCTTTGAAACAGCAATAATTAAAACAAAATGGCCACCAGTCGGCCATTTTGAATACATCTGCATACAATGTATCTATAACATAATGTAGTATAATGAATATATAAAAATTGAACATAATTGGTCAAAGTAAATGTATGTCAGAAATATGGATCTAGAACCTCATTCATTAAAACAAAATGGCCACCAGTCGGCCATTTTGAAACCGATCTGAAAAAATAAATGACGTACATCAAGGTCCCATAATGTCCAATGTCCCAACAAAATCCATCTGTAAACAGCCGAGATCCGGTTCCAGAATGCCAGAAATGCTTGATTTCAGTACATCTTGAATCAGCCATCTTGAATCAGATCGTGAAACAAATTGATGTGCATATGTATGATATTATAATTGGTCCAGGCATGTCGAAGATATAGGTCCGGACGGACACACAGACACCGCACAGAGGTTATTAGGGACGAATAAAGAGAGAATGATGAGCTTTAGCTGCTCTGACATCACTAACTGTATTACATGACGATGTATAAGTTTGTGGCTCAAAAAATGTGTGAAATAGTAAAAAACACAAACCGACTAAAACAACAAATTCTCACCATCTCTCCCTGTTTCGCCATCTTTTTAATATCAGCGATAATTTTCTTTTCTTGCTGTTCCATCTTTCCCCTCTCCCTGTCAAGATCTCTCATTGCTCGATTCAGTGCCCTCTGGTTTTGCTTCAGGATCTGTTCCGGAGTCTTCCTACTCCCGAATAACCACTCCAACGGCATCTTATATTTTTAGATATTTGTTAATCTGAAATACTGGCAAAGAAATGGGGTATAAATAATTAGTCTTCGTACAACGTAAGTCAAAGTAACATTGCCAGGGTTGGGTAGCGAAGGGTGTGACTCACTGTCAGCAGTCTGTACTTAAGTTTTCTGTTTTAGTGCAACAAATAATTAACAATAAACGATATTTTGCTTTCATGTATTTGACTGGATAAATTATTTTCGTAATAATTAAAAAAAATTTAAAAATGACAAATCAGCTGTGATCGAATATCACTCGATGACTTCCTGAATCCTTGGTGTTGTTGTCATTATCGATTATTTTGAGCTGCCAGCTCGGCTCTTGCTCGGGTGAATTTTAATCACAACGTACCTATATCTGGCCAGATGATCCCCCAATTCACTAACGGTGTCCAAAAGCTGTACAGTAATATGATGGGTTTGATAAGCTCAAGAAATAACACGACCAGAAACGAAGATACCAATGTTTATGCTATCGAACGTCGGTGACGTCATGGTCATGAGCCTGTTCGTGTTTTCTTTACTCGTGAAACAAATAAAATTAAAAAAAAAAAGATTGGCGTGACACGTCTCTGTTAAAAAAAGTAGATAATTACAGCTTAATATTTATTTTCCTGTTTGTAATACATTCCTTAAAGTCAATGGCAGAGACGAAATTTAACACAGGCCCAGGGTTTGGCCTTTGGTTTCCCAATGACTTTTGACCCTAAAAGTGCGCCCTCAACGGTAAAATCGAGCAAAATCCTTAGCAACTGGGTCGTTTCCCAGATGTGCTTTTCCGTCCATCTTTTTATCTTTTAGGGCCTTTTATTTTAAACCTTTAAGTTGTAGAATTTTGCCATGTCATCTAGACAAAGCGGTGGATCAACCTTGTCGGGTAAGACTGTTTTTACCATTTGGTTATTGTAAGAGAGAAGCTGCATTCTCCGCTAAAGGGGTCACAAACAAGCATGTAAACAAACATGGCGGCCTCCATTGCGGAAAACTTACGATTGGGGACGGAACTCAAATATATCCATAAAATACATTATTTGTTCACGTTAAAAATATTCAAATAAGTTGATTCTCTGCCATCAGTTGTAGAAACCCATAAACCACAGACAAAATAATGTGTATTACAAATGTTATAAAAACAAATTAAATTTCATAATTTGGTTTTCCTTATTTTATAGTTGAATGTCAAAAAAAAAAAAAAAAAAGAACGTGGGACCTACTGTATAAGATGTTGAAATAGCTACATGTCATTTTAGCGAATTTGACTTGATGCCAGAATTAATAGTATCTTAATGTAGCTAAAATGTCAACAATTTCATTGTGAGAATATACATCATTTTAAATTAGTGACATCTTGAATTAGCACAATTGTGGATTAGCTAACATAATATGTTTTACAGTATGTAATATGGGGAAAATTGAAGATGAATGTGAGAAAGTCATTTGTTGATATGATCAAGCACATCACTAATTTTAAACGGGAACTGCTCAATCCCTGGGATTGCACCAAGTGCTCATGGTAATTTCAATTAATTCCGCCTCCATTCACTAAGTAAATTAATGCTTTTTTCTCTTCCCCTTCTGTCCCATTAATTCCCGAAAACTGGTGTAAACTTCCTTTGAAATGTATATGAAGATGCTTATTTGAATACAACAGTTTTTATAAACAAAGGAATTACAAACAGGGCAGACTGCTTTGTTACCAGTAAATAAACACATTACACCTCAAGGGTATGAAAAATATTAGTCATCTCATTATGCCAACAAAATATGCAAACTTGTATTTTAAACACACAGAATCACCCCTGACGCAAAAATACATTTTGAGCAATAATTAAGTATTTTTACAGTACTGTAAAATACTTTATTTTAGCTGGAATTAATTTTCTCTGAAAAGACTTTTTGGGTGTTTTGTATGGAATTGTTTTCACTGTTTTTTGACGAGTTGAATGTAAAATATGGGAAACAACGTATATTCGCTGGATTTTATTTTCACTGAATCATTCCTTCAGCGAAAATAGCAAAAATTAATTCAAAGTGAAAATAAAGTATTTTACATTACATCACTCCTGCTTACACTCTAGGATCCAGCAATAGACAGCCTAATAACAGAGAAGAAGATGAAGCTGTGGGACCTGGTGGCAGTGGTATGGAGAGTGATGATGAGGTAAAAATTCACTTATTTCTGCAATATTAGCCACTTTACATATTTAATTGACATACAAGGCAGAAATTTACTTGTTGATTTACTTATTTGGACATGGTTTATTAATGCTCAGTGAAATTATTGAAACGTATACTGTGGAATACTTTATTTTCGCTGGAATTAATTTTCGCTGAAAAGGCTTTTTGGGCGTTTTGTATGGAACTTATTTTCACTGATTTTTGATGAATTTAATGCGAAATATAGGAAAAAAAGTATATTCGCTGGATTTTATTTTCACAGAATCATCCATTCAGCGAAAATAGCGAAAATAAATTCCAAGCGAAAATAAAGTATTCTACAGTATATCGTTTATCATGCTACATTCGATTTATGCATGCATTGATTGCTGATACATGCAATTAAAAAAAAAATTCTCTTGATGAGCCTATTATCCTCAGACATGAATGGACTGATTGTATTACATGTTCACATGCATTGCTATTGTGATTCCAGATGCCTGACTTGTGGCCATTTTTATAGAAAATGCACCAAATCAGCCAATTCAATGAGAAATTCAATAAATGTGCCTTAGAATAAAAAGAAGAATTTCTAGAAATTTTGAACAATGCTAGGAAAATTGTTAGGGCAATTGTTGCAATTGCCCTCAATGCCTGGATGAAATTCAAAACCTGTCATAAAATTTCCTGCCACAATCTGAGTTAAATCTGAAGTAGATACATGTAAGAGTAGCTTTGGTTGTTTCTATTACACAGCCTCCAATGTACATTACTCTTAATCATGAGATACAATTCATGTTTAGTATGATTAGCAGCCAATCAGAGCATGTGTTACAGACATTCTCTGGTAGATGTGCCAGCCAATCAGAGCATGTGTTACAGACATTCTCTGGTCGATGTGCCAGCCAATCAGAGCATGTGTTACAGACATTCTCTGGTAGATGTGCTCCAATTAATTGACATTCAGAAAGCTGCCTAAATTCATAGTCATGTAGTCAGATGAAGTTACCGATAGATGTTGCTGGGTATATTACATGTATACTCCTGGCTGTACATATACATGTATATTCAAAGAGAATTGAGCTTCAGACCTTGCTTTTTAAAACTGGCTGGAGAGCAAAAAATAGCTCTCCTGAAAAGTACTGAGGTACTGAGACGATTTATGCTTCCATTTAATTGTGTTGAAAAATAATTTTCCATTCAAAATTTGGCGTGGCTTTAAAAGAAATGTCTGGTCCTTCTGCTTACTTCCGGTTTTAATCAGATTGATCAATCCTGTACAAACTGACAGGGACTATACCATCTTGTTTAGCATGATGATATTTGTGTTTTCAGTATGACAGTGAGGAAGAGATGATCAAGCAACTTCAGATTGAAGAACAAAATAAATTTGAAATGCTTTGCGATGGTGTCCTTAACAGCATATCATTGGTTAACAACTCCATGGTAGAGGTAACATTATTTCAATTTTCTTTCTTTCTTTATATAAAGAATTATCATTCTTTATTGATATTGAATCTCAATTCAACTGCAATTTATTTCATACATTGAATATAATGGTAAGCATATTAATTAAAGTGAGGAGTTGTCACCTATGCAGACATATCTTGTTTTTTAACAAACAAGTGTCTACCCAAAGCCTTTGCATTTAAAGAGTGCATTGTTATCTCAGGTTTCAATTCCCGCGAGTGCACAGGTGACATCCCCTTTGATTTAATATTCAACTTTTTAAATTATTTAACCTACATAAAATGGATCTCAGACGTACATGCATGCTTTTAATTCAAACCTTCTAAATGTTGACCTTTTCATTCACCAATCTAGAATAATTCATGGATTGATGTTAGTTATGACAATTTGTGACAAAAGTGACATAGTTTGTTGTAACCAAATCTCTATATATGTATAATTCTGGCAAATAAACTAGTGTAATAGTTAGTTAGTCCAGATACATACATGTACAACGTAGGTCATCATTTTGATGCATGTCTTTTTATTTATGAATCTGATTCAAAGTGGCTGACAAGCGGCCATTTGTCACGAATGCTATTCCAGAGCCATATCTCTGTATATATACCATAATGCAATAACCCTTAAGCACTGACTTGTAGCCATTCTAAAAATGCACCAAAATTATCTCTAAACCATTTTCATTATTCTTAAACTGAGATGGATTAGTATATGCTTCATAGTTGCTTATTAAGTATTTGTTTTAATTTTTGTTGTTGTTACATCTATGTAGTTCCTTGATGTAAAAGATGAGTTATTAAAGCATGCTTTGCCACCTGCATTGTTGGCGAAACTAACCATAGTGGCTGGAAAAATATATAGAAGGTATGTCACTTGATGGATGTCATAGAATCATAAATACATCTATTTGTTATTATGCTTTACTGTAAAGGGGTTAATTATTCACTGGGTTTTAATTTAGCTTATTTCGCTGACTGGGAAATGCGCTAAATTAAAACCCAGTGAATATGTAAAATTTAGCATAGAACACATTATCTAAATGACAAAACCTGTGAATTTAAAATCCACTGAATATGCCTGAAATGGTAAATCAGCGAAATTTAAACCCAGTGAAAATTAGTCATTTTACAGTATTTTGTCTCAGTTTCTCACAGGCTTTTCAAGCTTAACGATTTAACCATGCTCGATTATCGAAATTTCTTGCTTGAGCTTTCTCAAAAATTATTTTTGACATTAAATTTAATCTTTTAATATTTCCAGTGTCATAGTTGAAAATAAAAGCATGATAATACAAACAAAGCACTTTGCATGAATGATGTATCAACTGCTGACATATTTTTCATTTTTAAGATTGGTGGTGTCATCTGTGTGTTTTCAGCATAAAATGATATGCATGTTCCAGGGCCACTGCATTCTACGAAATGCACCAGTTAGGTTTGGGGAAATAAAACAGACAATATCATCATGAATAAAACTCCTAGTGTATACTACCGAGGCAATGATACAATAACAAAAATGAATGCAGTGGCAAATTGGAATTGAAGTTGATTCTACACTTAGCTGTGACTTGATGTGATTTGTACACAGCACAACAGATTTAAACACTCCTGTGTCAGAAATGGTGCGATTAGTGAAAGTATACTCCGTACCATGGGAAGAGAAGAGTGCCGCTTTGAAGAAGTTACATTCAGATTATGAAAGTAAACACAAACAGTTGAATATTGCTGTGAGACGTCTTCAGCTCATTGATACACATGTGAGTACATTGTAACAATATGTGTAATATCAGAGGTACATTACTTGCGGTTTGCAACTACGTTGACATGATACCAAGATCCTGTTACAATCTCGCGCTCGCATAAGCGTTCCAACACAGAAAAATGCAAATGCGCATGCCCGAGGTAACTAGGATACTGGGATGTCCAGGTGGATCAAAATAGCTGCTTACGATATGACGGATTACGATAACTATATTTTCTGTATATTTTCGATGTATTACATTTTTTTACTATGAATGTGGTAATAAGTGTTTTATTGTTTTATTACAAACTGCCTATGTCATGTCAGAAAGTCGTAGCCTCAGTCTCGCTATCTACGAGAAGAGACTTGAATGGGATCCTGACATTATGTCACCATACAGTACTATGTGCGTTGCAAACCCCAAGTAATGTACCTCTGATAATATTTATATATTTTCAGAAATCCTGTGAAATCTTATACACACTGTGTAATTATTAATCTTGGTCACTGAGTCATATGAATCGATCTATAAAATCATCATTTTAATCCTTTGAGCATCAAAGTCAATTTCACCATACACAAAATAGTTTCATTTATTAGTCAGCTCTTTTTCACATGAAACGTTTCAAAAATTTCCAAATTTTTTATCAAAAAATAAGAGCAATGTCATATTTTGTCTGCTTGGTCCAAAATTAAGATTTGAATTCAGTGAAAATTACAGAAAAATGTGTGCAAATTCACGTGCCCAAATACAAGTGGGAAAACAATTTGGCATGCACGCAAAGGGTTGAATGCCATGGGAAGCATACAGTTCAGTGAACTGCTCATACAACAGTTGTTCATTTCTGTTTTGTTTCTAGTCCAAGAGAATGGAACGTGAGAAGAGAATTATGAACTGGGAGAAACTATTTGCCAAACTAACAAGCTCTAGAGGTCACGGAAGACGATGGAAATTTTTGATACAGACTTTTAGAGAAAAATCCAAAATGGGGTAAATATCGGTACCGGTACTACTTTTACCAGGACATGTATACCGTACATGTGAATAAAACCTACCAGTGTGGAAATAAAAAATATGAGGAATAGTAAAAATAGATTATTTGGGGTACAACCCTTCAAAGCTGGTTGGTTTTATTCATATTTTACTTTGTAGCACCTTAGTAGTCCTTTTTTTATTTAAGTTTGGTGTCTATACCTGCCCCTCTAAAGCTTTCTTAGAAACTATGTTTAACAAATTTTTACAACTTGATTAGCTGTTTATTGCGAGATCTTGTGTAATCCTAAACGAGCACAGCCCAAATATTTGACGCAAAAATCAAACAATTCAGTTAGTATAAATGCTGAACTTTCAGAGTGGAATATGACATTAAGATACCCGTAATTCATCAAAGTGTGTATAGCATTATTCCTACACAATGTCATTATTCCTACACAATGTTTTGACATCAACACTATGACTTTTGTTTGTCCTGTTTTTACGTTTGGTTTCACACACAACACAGGATTCTGCAGTGAACAGAAAATGGATGATTAACACAGTGACGTGAACCTAAAATACTACTTTATAATTTATCCTCTTAAGATTGGAGTATTTACAACAGTATATTGATAATATGGATAAAGAAGAAGAAGAAAAAAGTGATCACGAAACGGAAGAAGACAAGAAGGAAGTACAAAGTATGATAACTCAGTCAACGTCTGAAGATTTTAAAATTAGCTCAGTAAGTTGTCATGATGCATTAAATGAAATTTTAAAAGTTTTCACTATCATGCATCAAATCAAATTTTAAAAGTTGTCATCATAATAAATCATAACTATGTATTTATGTTAACAGGAATTCCTATAGAAATTGTTCCAAAAATATACATTTTTGTATTTTTACAGTCAATTTTTTTGTACTGGGCAAACAAAAAATGACATTTGTCCAAACCAATAATTATGTGATACTTTTCAAACAAAATGATAACCTCTACCGGGGTAATTTTTAGCTGTGTCATAATTTTTCCATTAGTTACAATGTGCCATAATTTTGAAATTGTTTTTAATTTTAGGATGAACTTGATTTAAGCAGTGATTCTGACATGTCAGATACCCCAAAGCCAACCAAAGGTGTACAGGATGACACCGATGACGAAAGTTTTGATGATGAAGATGAGAGTTCATCTCCAAATAAGGTAATAATAGATTCACAAAGAAACCTTTTATCAATTTTATTTTAAAATTGTCATTGGTTATGTAACAAAAATGTATTTTCTAGCTCAAATTGCATATTAAAAACAACATTTCTAAATTCCGAAGACTGTTTTTAACAATTTTACAATATACTGTGATGAACAGTGAAAACCAGGAAGAAGAGCCTTATCAGCCAATGAGCTAGTCATGTTAATGAGTACTGTATATGCACTCATTGGCTGTTCTGCCTAGCCTCCCTCTGTAGTGTTCTATTAACACTATTTGACAATGACTTACCTTAGTAGTTCTCGAACGCAAACGACCGCTGAGAGCGAGAGAGTCACAAGACTTCTGTTGCCCCTCAAATAGTGTTCCACTCCCCCTTGTCATTATGATAGCTGTTTTAACCTTTTCACCGCCAGACTTACTTGCCCAATTTGTCTGTACTTTTTTCTTATATTCTTCAATATTTCTGTAAATTAACCCCAATTTTGAAGCCAACAGACAAAATTTTAGTCAATTTTCAGTTTTTACTCAAAAAATGTGGCTATTTTTGTCTCAATCTTCTGAAGGAATCTGCAGACTATAAACCTGCCTACCGGTAGATGTATTTTGTAAATTTTTGATGAAAAGAGAGAACTGAACAATATTTGAGAGGAAAACACAAATCTTGTATCTTGCCTTTCAACCAGATCTCAGGTCATTCGCATCTAAGGTCTATTGCCATAGCAACCATTGTGCAAACATTGATCAGCGTTTGGTTTTCTATCTTTTATAGAAAGTGACTTTTCAAGAGAAAGGAAAGGGAGATGCAAACGGTGACGGTGAACATATTTATTTGCCTGCACCGAAACCCCCGACAGACGATAAGTGTATCTGGACACATGAACCAGAGTATGAGAAATATTTAAACATCCGGGTCTACAAACCATTGGGATTGGACCATCAACAGTTGAGATGTATGGTTTCTTTTGATAAAGTTATGAAAAAGACAGATGCATTTGAAGACCCTCAGACTGATGTTCTAGGTATGCCCCTCTCTAACTCTATCTTGTCGAAAAAATCATAGCACATTTAATCTTTTGTACTTTAATTCAATAAAAGTACGCCCTTTATGGCAAAAATGTGCATTTCCTATATACTGGGTGAATGGCAAAACTATATTAAGGTCTCTGACGAAAGAACTGCAATTTTCTATTCAAATCCGTGAATAAAAACAGTTGTCAAGTTTATTAGAAGTTACAATGAAATGATAACATATAACTGTGAGAGCTCTGTCATAAAAAAAATGATGAGGCAGAGAACAAATGGTGATAATGACCTGAATGTTATTTATTTTATCATATTAAACATTATTCATAATATACCGTACTTCCCTGAGTATAAGCCCCTCCCTGAGTATAAGCCCACCCCTCTGTTTTTAGACATTTAACAAGTTGAGGGCATCCCCGAGTATAGGCCCAGGGTGTTTTTACCGGCCGTCGACGACGGAACATAGTTCACACATTTTCTATTCTGCTATTTACTCGGGATGAACCCCGATGTTGCAATACTGAAATAATCCATATTTCTTTTGAGTAGTAGTTTTCCAAACGGCAAAAATGTGATCGTTAAATCGTGAAACCTGGTCATTGAACATCGTTTTATTTTTCCGAATAATCGTGTCCATGATTGAGTCTATCGTGAATGGGGTGTGAACGAGCAAACTATTCTTCGACATGACTTGTTGGCGACCGTGACAAGTTTAAATACTTCCTCCACCCTCAGTTTACCTTTGGAAAGATGCAAATCACCAGCTTTTAGGGAAAAAATCACCGTTTTTTGTCGAAATCAGATCGCATTTTAACATCGCGGTAATTCACTTCCGCATTGCGTTGAAAAAATTACTTCGTCAATAATCGGGAAACTTCGTCTGTACGACACACCATTTCGATTGGTTAACGAAAGACGTGACCTGTTAGGTCAAAGGAAGTTGTTCAGGTCAAACCATGATGAAAAACAGCATGGCGGAAATTTTACCGTTTTCCCACAGACCCTACCCATTTTTGCACTGTAAATTCAGACGGTTGGTAAACCGTATTGTAATAAAATGTGTGTATTTTTATGAACATGCTTATTTTTCATTGTAAAAAGTGTCGTTGAAATCAATGACGACTTGTTTCGCATTTTTTTTTCTCAAAAATACGTAATATTTCCCCTGAAACCAGCGCTGTAAACAAAAAATGTAATATGGATAATTTGTTGAGGTTGGGAAGATACAGTAGTTACAATTTTAAACCCACCAATAAATTATATTTTTTGAGGTGGTCCTCGAGTATAAGCCAACCCCCTAATTTTCCATATTTTCCATGTTCAGGCCCCTGAGCTTATACTCAGGGAAGTACGGTAGATAAAGTACCAGGTATATGTATTTACCGGTAATTTGTTTAACAATAAGGGAAACATTTTTTGAAACATGCCTTACTAATAGCAACTTTGATATCTAACTTTTAGCGTGTGAAGTCAGTACTCAATTTTAATATAGAAAGTGTTCTTTTTACACCCCCACCCTTAACTCTAACCCTACCCCTTCCCTCCAATGCTTCCCAGTTTAATTGTATATGACACTTATAGTCATCTGTAGTTATGGTTATGGGTGTGGGTACAAAAAGGGACTTTTTTCGTAAATAATTTAGATTGAATTGAGATCATTGAAAATTTATTTTACTATTTTCCAGATAGAAATGTCACCACACTCTTGTATTGGTGGTATTGAAGTGATTGCAACCCCCTCCCTTATGCATTTGTATCTTGAGAAACTTCAGAACATGTTTGGTTAGCACATGCAAAACACTGTGAATGCAATATGTATTCTAGTCCTGATACTATTCTATTTTGAATATCAAAAGTTCCTTGTATATTTCAAAAATATGATGAAGAAAAGTAACAGTGGTAGTGAATGACAATTTATTATGTAGTAATATGGTTTCACAGTAGTTTCAGTGATGTCATCCATGATATATACCCCTTAGCAGGCAATATATCGTGTCATGTGACTGCATTCCAACCAATCAGAGCATTCGTAACAGTAAAATATGATTATTCGTTCTTATAAAAATAATAATAACATTACCAAATTGTTTGTAGTTTCTGATTACACACCTTTATCAAAATTTATGTTGACAGTCATTTTCCAGCTTCATGCAATTTCTAAAATCTAATAAATGTACACTTGTACTATCAGCAGAAAACAAAGAAACAGTTGACAAGGAGGCACAAAAAGAAACCAAAGGAAAAAGCATGATTGGAAGCAAATCATCACCAAGTAAACAAACTGAAACTGATGAACACAAACCGGAAGTGCCTATTATGGAAACAACAGATCCAGATAAGTAAGCTCTTTTTATGATTTATTTTATCAGATATGCTGTAAAATTTTAGCGAATTGTGGTAAAATGACGTAATAGTGAAATGTTGATTTAGCGAATTTCTCCTGTCATTGTTGATTTCCTGTTTCACAATACTTGTCTGTCGCGTGCCAAAACAAATGCACAGTTATCACCTCAATAAAAATAAAGAAAAACCGTCAAGTCTAATTAGGAAGCACCCCAGATTTTTATGTTCCCGATTACTGTATACAAATCCCCAAGCCTTCGCTATTTTGAATTTATAATAAAGTTTTTAGCAACATCTTGAATTAGCGAATCAGTTCTCTCGCTAAATTTGCTGAAAAGACATGCTCGTGAAAAAGACATGTTTTACAGTACATTGTAAAATCAACAATTATTCACTGGAGTTTTTTGTTTTATTATCTAGTCAAATCATGATTTCTGAATTGAGTACAACACATTCAGAAATTTGTAGTTGCAGAATGCAGGATTTTAAACGCATTATAACTTCATCGTATTTTGCTGAAAGTAAGATATCATCAAATAAAATGATAAAGAGCAATTAAAAATCAGAGATATGACTTTTGACCAAGTATGATATGACAAAAATACATACTTTACGAGTATGCATTTAATTTCATTTTGTTGATAATTTGAGTTTTATCCCTGCCTTTAAGTTCATGAATTTAGCAGAGAAACAAATATTAAGTTCTTTAGTTATTTTACATGTTCACATGAATATAATTTGGCAACTTTTACTTTTGGAGAAAATACCAAAATTAAAACCCAGTGAATAATTAATCCATTCATTTCTGGTTAACCTTCACAAGTTGCTTCATTAAGTATACTATTATTGCCTTTTACTGTTATGCATGGTTCAGAATAGGAACACCTAAGGTATTTTGTTGGCAAGTGAATGTATGCATGTATTGAACAACAATGATAATATTTGCCATCCTGATGTCAGGCAAATGATTCCATATTTGGAAGTAATATACATTGTTCTTTTTGCATGTTAGGTTTTATCTTGTGACATTCCCTTTACCGGAGGAGACTGCATCAGGATTAGAAACACCTGTAGGAAACCCGGATGATAATTTGGGAATTGCAGTGCATCATGGGCAATATGATGAGATGTTAGCCATGACTACAATTGATAGATTTGATCTTGAGACATTGGTAAGATTGGTTGTTGTGATTTTAAAAATGAATGTGGTTATTATTTAAAAACACTGAATTTGTTTCCACATGGTGAACATTTAGAATTAAAAATTGGTAGAAGTAAAAACAACTAAGGTTTTGATTTCAATAACTAATTTGGTTACTTTCAGATTTTCAAATACATGTAGATAGTAATTCACGGAAACAAATTTGTGCCATACCAATCCACCATTAAAATTTTTGCTCACTTAACATTTGTCAGGATATACCAACGTATGATGTCGAGGATGAAATCGACAGCTTAGAGATTACACCGTTTCCTCTCAAGTCATTGAAGCCATCAAAGAGAGGACCTCAAAAAACAGGTCAAATGCCTCTGTCTGTCTACTATACAAGGAAACTGATACCAAGAACCTATGACAAAGAGTCTGGTGAGTGTAACTGTTGATTACTGTATCCAAGGCACAAATGGGATCCTTTAAGTTACCCTGTATGTGTGTATGTCTGTCCCATCGATACGTGTATCTAAAGAAACACTTCTCAGATTTCAAACAAATTTGGTGCATCTGTGTTCTAGGGTGATGCGCAGACTGGGGTATCTTTTGATTGATATCCAGTTGTAATTATGTGGTTTGTGTAATAGTAAGCACATATTTACATTGTTTATTGATTTTTCAAGAATCGCTTTATAGATTTCAGTGAAATGTGGTACATACGTGGTCTGGTTCTTTATGTTGCTGACAGACTTAAGTAACCGTTGTCTCATTCAGTGTGCATTCACATACAGTGTACAACCAATAGGTGATTTTCCGAACAATTGCGAGATCTTGCGAGATGCATGAAAGACGCGCGTCGAACGTCTGCCGCAAAAATCAAACGATTTGATTTTGAACTAGAATTTCTTTATTTCGCAGCTTACATTGACCGGCCGATCTTCGACAGAGGAATATTGCTTCCGAATACCCTCACTTAATCGAAATTGCCTATCATCAAATGTGGACAGCACATTATTAAGCATGGAAATGTCCCCGAAATACTTTCGCGTTTGTCGAATCCCACGCGATGTTTGACGTGACTACGACGCTATGACCTTTGTTTGTCCTGTTTTTTACGTTCGATTTCACACATAACGCGTGATTCTCGCAGTGTACGGAAAATGGTCTATTGATATCACATTCTTTGCAGTGTACTGTAAACTGCTTTGATTATGCAAGAGACAAGTTTTTGTGGATTTTGTGAGTGAAAATATTGATATTTTGTAGGAGTAAACATTTTTCTTGGGTCCTATTAGTATAACATTGAGTGTCAGCAACTTTTTGTTTTCACGAATGCCATAACATTCTATAACTGCAAGTTTCTAGTAGTAGGCAAATTATATGATTTACTGTATTAACCAGGGTGTTCCTAGAAGTCTTCAATATGTCTAATTTATAATAATATAAAATTTAAAGCCTTGAAATGTTTAAAATGTGAGAATATTTTTAATTATGTCTTATAAATATCTTTTAATAAAACAGATTTTGGCAATTCATAAATTTATGTTTGGGATTTGAAACCTAATTTTTTGTCTTATTGTGATCTTTTGAGGTGTGTTTTGTAAATGTGATCGTTTTAATATTTAAGTAACTATGCATGATTTACATGTTTGTTTCATATTTGTACCAGTTTTCTGCTAAAATAGGTAATTGTCTATAGTTTTTAAGGTTGATGAATACTGTTTCAGCAAAATATTTGGAAGTTACTGATTCCGATTGTTCATTGTTGTACATGTCTATTCTCAGTAGCGGACATCCAGACATTTTCACTGCCTGGCAACCACAGCCGGTGAAAGCAACAGTCAAACACTCTCAAAAAAAATTGGGCTAGTTATTGGGACAGTGTAACAAGATTACTCCTACATGTGCAACATATATAAGTTTCGATGTTCAGGATTGTCTCATATACATGTAGTTAAATTTGTGCTGTTTTCTACACTTTAGCTGATGGCTGTGGAGTTCCACAGCAGATTGAACAGATTCCATAGAAATACATGGTACAAAGGTGCGTTAAAAGCGAGTAAGCACCCTGATTTACCTTCTGTTCTCTTTTTTTTCCATATTTTTTTTTTTTTTTTAGAAACTGAGACTCTTCATGAAGTGATCAAAGAAGAAACTGGTATTGATGTGTACACTGTTGATTTAGATGAAATCCACACGTTTTTACAGCGAGGTCCTTTAGAAGATAGGTGTCTATCTGCTTTGTCATTGCAGTCATCAATAGGAAGTAAATTACAGGTAAAAGAAAATTGATCATGTCCACTGGGCCTGGTTAACTCCATACCGGTAGTAGTGCAAATAATTGCTATAATGTTATTATAAGGCTGGTCATACTAACCAGCGTTTGACCAGATTCCACACAAAGATGTTTGCTGATTCTAAACTTTTTGGATTTCGGCATTCCCATGATTTATCCTTGGAAGGAAAAGATGTATAATAATAATGTTATTACAAGAATACCAGACAGTGCGCCACGCATCGACCTCCACTGCGCGGCAGGTAATACTTCCACTGTACTATCTTAGTGCATACTTTGTGGTATCCTCGTAATACCGGTAACCTCATAGTATTGATTGTATCTTGTTGCAGAATATGGTACCCGTGGAGGATGTAGAAGCACTCCAAGAAAGACACAATGAAGAAATGATGATCCAACAAGAAGAGTACGAGTAAGTAACATCACTCCTGCCATCATCAAACACTCATAATCAAGTACAATATTATGATTAGGTTTTATGTAACTGTCCATATTAGTTATAAAAAAACAAAAACATTTTGCAACTGCTGGAATAACCCTTCACCAGAAAAGGGATGCGTTTCTGCAAATATGGTCAATCAAATGGCATGGTTTTATAACGGAAAATTATTTGCAATTTGAAGCACTTCAGTATGGGGGATATGACAATAGGGCTGTTATACTTTGTAAAAATTGAATTAGGGTTTATTTGTAATCTTACTCATTTTTATCCCCAACAAAGAAAACTCTTTTTTCGGAATGGGTAAGTATCTTAGTCTGTCACAAGTGAACTGCATTATTGCGTGGTATGTCTGGTGTTGCACAATATATCCATCGATGACACGATCACAACCGATCCCCATATACAGTAATGCAACATACGTTGTCTGCACTCTACCCTGTTACCATGGTAATGCACTCTTCCTTGTTACTATAGTGATGCAATTGGTGCAGCCTATTCCTTCCTCCATTTTGTAAATATTAATTAATTTAATTTGGGTAATACTGTCTACATTATATTCAGTGTATGGTATGGTATATATGACTTATTTGTAATAGCAAATAGTATGAATTTGCATAAAATAAAACAATTGTATATTTTTGTGACCAATATTACAAAGTTGTAAGTCCTGCTATACTAATTTTGTATTTTGCTAAAAATTCAGCTATATAATTATTATAAGATTGGGACCAGTGAGCCCTCTAGCAGGACAGATCAGAATGGAATTTATAAATTCAAGTTGAATTACTGTGGAATACTTTATTTTCACTTTAATTAATTTTTGCTGAAAAGGCTTTTTGGGCATTTTTTATTGAATTTACTTTAACTGATTTTTGATAAGTTTACTGTGAAATATAGGGAAAATAGTATATTTGCTGGATTTTATTTTCCCGGAATCATCCCTTCAGCGAAAATAGCGAAAATAAAGTATTCTACAGTAATTTGGTGACTGCTGGGGAAAGGTCTGCAAGGTAAAATCAAGGTTATATATGTCTGTAGGTGACTTCAAAATTTGTTTGTCATTGTTGCGTTTTATTGTGTTTAGAGGGCAGACTACATAGGGCATGCTCTTAGAGGTGCCAGTGTATTTCTCATCCTGTCAACAGAGGGTGCCGTCCTCACTCGAAGTGGTATCCAATGAGGAAATATACTTATTATGTTGATTCCTTCATTTTTGTAGGAGACGACTTAATGGCCTTGCTAGGAGTTTACAAGAAGTGCAAGAGGCACAGATTGCAGCGTTAACTGGCGGCGGCGGCGGCGGGGAAGGAATTACGATATTACATCCTTCTGTGAGTGGTGACTCCAAACCACAGTCTTCAGAAGGTGTGTATTTCAATGTACTTTGAGTCAGAGCACAGTTACTAGAAGAACGGTCAGAAATTCTATTGTTAGATATGCAAATTATTCTTTGACCTCTGGGTGTGAAGGTTAAAAGAATCATTTTCTAAACATTCTTCTAGTAAGCAAGGTCATAGTTAATATTCTACAATAATAATACCGTAGGTATTTAAATAAGTATAAATGTGGTCAGGTGATATTTACAGTTAATTTAATCATTATTCAATCATTAGGATTACAATATATTTTCAAATTTTCAGTTTTGTACTATGTGCAACCCATATTAAATCAACATAATAATGGTGTCAATGCACTTTCTCTGCCCAAAAATCACTCTCTTGGTTTTCTCCCATACTTTATTTTTTTATTAACTTTGCAGGTAGTCGAAGGAGTGCTAAAGGTGAAAGGTCACCATTTAATGGCTGGACTTCTCATACTCCAAGACCACCTGACAAACGAGATAAAGATGTCAAGTAAGTAATGAATGAATGAATGAATGAATGAATGTAGGAAACTAAGCATTGACAAGAACCAGTATACCGACACATTGATATTTACCGATCGCATGGCAGGTCAACTAGTATTAAGGAGAACATTGTTTATTAATTTATTGTGATAATGTTGCCAATAACCTGGAAACATACATGTCTATCTAATAACATAAGCAATGATCAATAGCATTTGTTTACACATTGTTATGGGTACTATTCTTTATAATGGTAATTATTTTTTGTTATTAGCATAATAGTGGTTCCCCCAGCAATTTTAATTACAGCGGTTTTAACATGTTTGGAATCAGAAATGACCTACTTGATCTTTCACGAAAACAGAAATTATTTATTTGTTGATTATTTCTATAGTAGCATAATTAAAACCAATTTAATTGGTTAACTGATATAAAAAAAATAAGTTATTTTATGGTGAACCATGTAAGAGCGATAGCAAAATATATCACAAGATCATTTCAGAAAAGACGAGAAAACATGTTTGTGTAGTACATTAGTCGATATTATATTTTACAAGCAATAATACATACAATATCTTTATTTGACATACACCCTCTATATGTGAGTACATATACATGACTCCAGTGACTTGTAAGTAAATTTTTATTTTCAAGCTATTATTTTATTAAATATTTTCTTATTGTCACACGTCACTTTAATAAACAATACTACGGTACTACTACTACTACTATGGTCCCAACAAGATGCAAATTAAATAGTAATAATATAAAAATTTTGAGAGAATGCAGTCCACAATATTTCTTTAAGGAATGATTTGATTGGCTATTAATCCCAGTTAACATGCAGGATGCACACTCTTTATAAGATATGTAAAAAGGTACACTGTCTTGGAATGTATATACTATTGTTTCACCGGGAATATCTCTCATTATTTACAGAACGCCAAGCGATTCCAGTAAATCAAAGTCCAAAGGAGGACGGGTCAGCCAGCCTTTGCCAAAATGGGGAAGTGACTTGCCAAAAGATGTAAGTATTTTGGCTGCTATATTCATTGCTTCTCCACCGCTCATATTTCATTAAAATATTATTACAGCATTGACTTCCTCCTTTAACAGGAAGTGATGTCATACCATGCATGGATGATATGAATACTGTAAATGCTTTGAAATAACTACACGTTATTTGACTCAATGCATAAATTACAAACAATTTCATTGTGAAAATATACCAGGTAGTTTTTTTAGTGAAATTATGAATTAGCTATAATAACTTACTAGCTAAAAAGACATATTTGACAGTATGTACCAGTTGTTGTACATTGCACTGTGAGGATGCTCGCCATATTAAAAATGTAAGACATGTATTACTATGAAGTGATAGAAATGTTCACTGTTAAAAACACTTCAACAACATTTTGTGGAAGTCACCATTATACCCCAGTGACATTTTACTGCTACTATATTTCCCAATTCACTAAATTGTATATTCATACATTATTACCTACTTAACTAAGAAAAATAATCTCCTTTGGAATCCTGATTGCACCGATAATAACAATCTCCTGAAGTAACATGTGATGTTTCTAGTTCTTTGAAAGGATGAGACAATTCCAGGAAGAGAGAATTCGCCATCAGCAAGAGCTGACAGCAAAGACGCAAGCAGAGATACAGGAACACATAGAACGACAAATGGCGGGACAGTATCGACTGGCTCAGTCTGCACCGGATGCACTGCTTTCAACTGACGGTATGTAATGTTTGAATTATTGATGTTGGTGTTTATGGTGTTAGATTATTCAAATACAGCATGGTTGATCAAAAGACAGTTTGATACCCATTGACTTTACTTTACCAAACGCTTCTTTTACATGTATATTTACCAAATTTTGTTATTTGAAAGAAAGGTGACACAACTTGGTTGTGAAAGGTGATTTTGATTCTTAGTGAACTCATACGAAAGATGAACCTACTTGTCCTTCACTGTTACCAATAGGTTGCCATGGTACCCAGCCAGTTATATATTCTCGTTTCTATTCTCAGTTCCATTTTACATAAATAGCATCTTGTCTTATTTAATTGGAAGAAACGATTCCAAATGAGGAGAGTGCATACTGTTACATTGAATGTTCATGAATCAGAAATGACTTAGACTGGCTGCACTATTCATAGTATCTTCAAAATAATTGTGATCTTCCAGTAAATATTTCACAAACACACAAAAAGTTCGTCATCTGAACAAGTAGACATTATGTAGTATAACTCCGTCACATGGTGTAATAAGGAAAGATTGAGGTCTGTGAATACAAGCAATTACAAACAAACATTCAGCAAAATACAATAATGAGTTTTACCCAGGCTAATTAACGTTATTGCAATGGTATCACACTACTGATTAATTTCATGTGTCTGTATTCCAATTTGATATTTTTTGCTTGAAATTTATTTAAGAGAAATAAGCAATAATATTATAATCCAGTGAAAGTATTCTTGCCCATATGATCGTCATGTAGTATTTGACAGATTAATTTACGTTTGCTGTTTTCACTAAAAATATAATTAAGTTAAAATAAAAAAAGTATTTTATAATATAATGAAGGCATTTACTATATCTAGCATGTAAGGTAACATACAGACTGGATTCCAGGCCAGGTCTTCCATGCATTGTGTGTATCCAAACTATGTATACATGTATATGGGACTAAATTGATTATGTTTGTGTATGTTGTACAGATGTATGTTTACCTGCTGTGTTTATGCCGACAAGAACAGGACAATTGTATAACCCACGGGCACATCACTACTTCCATGCATCAGGTAAAGCACTTCAGATTATAATCACAGTATGGTTGATCTTAGTGTGGTCGATTTAATAGTTTTGGGTAGTAGTAATGCTAGGTGGGAGCTTCCTCGGAAGCTGACTGGTGCTTTGTTACGTTTGCCACTTACTCATGTAGAATTTTCTTATAGTTTGTAAACTGAAAAATTATTTTATCCTGAGCTGGCAGCAATAATATTAAAAAAAAAACAGGATGACCTACCTCGCTTTTAAAATAATCTGTATGTTTACATTAAATTGATTGGTCCGACTGTTTATAGTTGTAAGTCTTTGCATTTAACCCCACAATTCCAGGAAAATGCTCAAAGTTTGTGAATGAGCAAATCCTCATTTGACAAGCACATGGAAATATGAAATTTACTCTTGATATCAAATCATCATTCTGTCATTTGTCACTGATAGTACAAGTGTACCCTATATGTATGTGACTTCACAGAGCCTTAAATCCTAAAATTTTGTAACTCATGTTTGTGCCAACAATGTTTATCATACAAGAAGTAGAGCTCACTTTCAGTGAAAATTTTCTGTGATACCATGATGTTGATGCATGCCCTGCTTTATACATGTTTTTTATTTTTTCAGGTTCGCTTGGTAGTTACAGATTAACGCAGCCACCGTCCATGTTCCAGTTACCACCATTACCAAATAAAAATGTATCCTTTGTCAGTTTGACTTGACTTGATTAACATCACAGGTTGCAGATTGATTTACCAATTTGTGCTGTTTCAAATACGTGCACTATAATAATAGTAATAACTAACTGGTATCTTTACAAATGTTAATTTTTAGTATATAGCACAATATTATAATGAATTATTTAAAAAAAAAAATTAATATCTTAACATTACACTCATGACTTCCATCCATCATCATGCATTGCCATGTTTAATTAGGATTCCATGTGATGCAAGCTACGATTTTAAAATACTTTGTCTGTGTACAATTGTGATAATATTCACATAGCTTTTGAATATTAAAGTAGCACTGAACGAGGGTAAAATGTGATTCAGAGATCATCAAAAAGTTACTAAGCATTCAACCTGTACATCATCTGAAAACTTAGATGAAAAAACATCCTTAGAAAGTGTAGATAGCACAGAACTGAAAAAATGCTCAGAATTATTGGAACTTTTTTGGCATGAACTATTTTTGAAAAACATCTTGGAAATACCATTCAATACTGTAAACAAATTTATTTTCACTTGGAATTAATTTTCGCTATTTTTGCTGAAAAAATGATTCAGTGAAAGGAACTTATCATATGAGTGTCCGTCGTTGTCGTCGTCGCCGTCTGTTGTCGTCCATGTCAATGTTTTACTTTTTCGACTTCTTCTTGAAAACTACAAGCCTGAATGCTTTGATACTTGGTGTATATGTACCTTGGGTAGACCTCTCTTAGATTTGTTCACTTCATGATGATATCTTCAACTCTGTAATTTTGATGATTGTTTTTGTCATTTTTGGTGAAAAGTGATATTTTTGAATTCTTGTTGCTTCAGTTCTTAATTGAAATGTGCATTGCTAACAGCGCAGGTATCTCAGCCGACAGGCTGCTTGTTTACATTTAACTTGTCAAAAATCAGTGAAAATAAAGGTATATCAGCGAAAATTAATTCCAGCTAAAATAAAGTATTTTACAGTACCGGTAATTCAATATTTGGGACAGATGCTTTTCAGCATACTGTTGTTGAAGTGCCAGTGAATTAGTGTCACTAGTTGCGTAAAGACAAATCTCTGTGTCAGTGGCACATCATCACATCTCAGAGAGCATTTTTATCAAAGGTTTGTGTAAACTCAGTCTTATTATTTATTTCTTCCTTAACCATTTCATTGACAGAAACAAACAGCAGTAGATCTTTTTGACATCAGAAGAAACTTTCAGCCGAAGTCTGCCGAGTTTCTCACCAGTATACCACAGACTCCACCTACACAGTACTTTTCAATGTCTCAACCGATGACTCCACAAACCCCAGCACCAACAGTGGAACATTCTGCACCACCCACTGCAGATGCATATCAAAAAAGGTCTTCATCCGCGGCTGGTCTTTAGTCTCAGGGAAGGAAGGAGGGGAGGGGATGGTTGCAAGCAATTAAGAGGGTCACTTATTTAGTGGACGGAAGTCTAGATTTCAAATGTTGTATGGAATTTGTCTTTATGTCTATACTTTGAACTATTTGAACCCCAAAAGCAACATTTGCCTTTTTTACGAAATATTCATTTTTTTCAAAGATTTTGATTAAGACTTGTAAAAATACATAGAAATGTTGCACTAAGATTTTGGTGGGAAGGATTATAATGTTCATAAAGCCGGTGTAACGTCTAAGCTAGAAAGATTGGGTTTTTGTTTCTGTTAAGTTCTGATCAAATCATGGCATAACATATATGCATATTTATAATTTAATATTAATTATTGATTTTAATGAAAGGTCATACTATACTGGACTGAAGGGTCAATTAAGCCTTTGAGAAGCGTCAGTAAACAACTTTTGAAAAACTGATCACGAAATTACCCTACTCATGTATTGTAGAATCAGAGGTACATTAGAAAACATTAGAAGTCTTAATCAAGTATAAATGTCATCACAGGCTGAAGATGTATGATAAACCGTTTGTTATTTGCTATTTGATTATTATTATCATTATAGAATAAATTTGTAGTGTGTCCTAGGATTCTTGAGTACAAGAAAATCTCACGAATTTCACTGACTCACGGAATTTTCAAAAATAGGTCTCACAAAAAAAATAAAAGCGGTATACTGTGGTTTTTACTAGACAACTTGTAGTATATGATTTGCATTATTATGTCTTCTCAGCATTCTCAGCAGAAACGAAAAAAAATCGCCATGCTTTTAATAATCTTATTGGATTAGCTTCATGGTACAAAAATGTTCTTTGTCTTAATTTTTTAACAATCTGTTTTTGTGATTGCCATTTTCAAAAGCCAAATTATATACAATTTACAAAGAATAAGAATTCTTATTTCCATTTTAAGGAAGATTTTTATTTTTTCAGAATTATCTGAATTGTATATTCCCTCTGTTTATTGTACTTATTGCCACCAAAATAGCATAATTTTAATATAAATGAAGTGTTAAATAACTTGTAACAAATTACATAATATACATACAGTATAATTTAAATATGTAGATTATTTATCAATGTATACAAGGGAAGGTCTGGGAATCTGAATATCGTATCGTATATACATGTATTCCAGTAACCTGCAACCTAATTAAGTGACTCTCTATAAATAGCGCCCTCTGTGCCAAAACTATAAACTCGTTTTGTTTTTACTGAATTATTTCTAGTAGTAAATGTTTATACATGTACCATAGAAGAGAATTAGACAAGAAGTCTAACTTCGAAGGAAATTATCATTCAGGGTAATGAGTAAATTATACATATATTTATGTCATTCAAAAAGTGTGCCACATTTACTACCTTTTTTTAACTGTAAATATTTCTTTTTGTATATACATGTACTCCAATTGTGAATTGTTAAGAATATAAATAAACTTTGTCAAATTTCTTGAATGCAAAATGTTCAAACTTTGCAAGATTAAATGATGGTAGTCGTCGTGCCGCACATGTGTGATATTTTTGTTGATAAACATTGATTTTTCCACAATCCTATGTGCTCTCGTAGTGAAAATCGCATGTATGGGATTTGACCTGGGTGTTACCTGAACTAGAAGCTACGGTAATTACCGCCGGTGACTCGTTGAACCGTTCCAATCACCAAAGAAATTACGTATTTAAAGCTTGGGAACAACTCAATTTGTCTGCGCAACATTCAAAGTCTCCACCTTTGCTCATATATGAGACCCATATCTCATGCATGTGCCGTGCGAAGACCACCGTCCTTTAATTAAACAATGATACTGCTTTGCATATCTACATCAACAGTCAACAAAAGATAGTAAACTGTTTTAAAAAAGTAACATGAACTTGTGTATTGCGAATTAGCATCCAAAACACTAATAATTAGTGAAAACAAAGAATTGTGCTTTATAATTTGTTTTCAATTCTTTTCATAAAAAATCCCTCTTTTTCATTTTATCATTAAAAAAAATAAAATACCCACCGGAGGCGTGCTTCAAAACTATTTGTCTAGCGCCCTCGGTGACAAACCTCTCGCATTATGTCATTACTGTACCAGAATCATAAATAATTATTTTAAACCGTTTTTTTGTGGTTACAATAACTAAAACTGTTTTATCAGATCTTTTTCAATTAGGAGAAAAATAAGTAAAAAAAATCATGACCAAATAATGATTACTGATCAACTAGAATAATGAAATCTAAATACTGTAAAATACTTTTTTTAGCTGGAATTAATTTTTGCGGAAAAGGCCTTTTTGAGTGTTTTATATGAAATTCATTTTCACTGATTTTGATGAGTTGAATATGAAATAAAGGAAAAAAGTTATGTCCACTAGATTTGATTTTCACTGAATCATCCCAGTCAGCGAAAATAGCAAAATTAGATGTAATTCTAAGCGAAAATGAAGTATTTTACAGTAGATATCAAAAACACTAAAATGAAGACCATGTTTTAAAAAAACGGGCTACATGATTTCTGGTCCAAATTGTTTGGATGCACATAAAAGCTGCAAGAGGTAGAATATAAATACATCGTTTTTGTCTGGAAGCATTGTCATCCTATAGACCTCACATTGATTGCAGGGTTTATGGTTGATGGTAAACTGTAGACGTCTTTGACCGTCATTTACCTCATGATGGAGGTTACATGTACGTCAGAACGTATCTCGTATAAATCTATCATGAACAGTTGCACTGTGAAGTGAGGGGAAGACTCGTGTATGTAGACCCGGACAGTTATCAATCTAAGATGTAGGTGATTGCACCCGGTCTGAGGATACATGTTATGATTCCAAATTGCTCCTCTTCCGAATTACTACGTACGTTACGAACCGCGTTATTCAAATCAGAGCCAAGTCATTAATTAATTTTCTTTAAGGGCGTAATAAAAGCTCTATTCTATTCTATTCTATTCTATTCTATTCTATTCTATTCTATTCTATTCTATTCTATTCTATTCTATTCTATTCTATTCTATTCTATGGTCACATTGCTCATCTGAGATTGAATGATTGTCCTTGATTTAGTTTCCTTCGTATCGTCTAAGTGTGATGTCACCGTGACAGTTCGAAGAAAACAACGTGTACTGTCAGTGAATGCATGCCAGACAGTAACCGCAGCCTGGCAGTCAGCGCGGTCATCCAAGTTGTCACTGAAAGTGGTCGAAGCTAACTCATAATGAACCGGGATAATGAGGGGGGTAGCTGGTACTGGTTACAGGAAATAAAACCGGCATTTTAGGTTTTTTACAAGAAATAAAATGGAAGTTCCATTTTTACAGTAACAAAAATAGGTTTTTACACTTTACAGATAAAGCAAATTCCTAATTACATTTTTATAATATTTTTGACAATTTACATTATTACGAAAATAAAAACAATTGATTGCAGCTTACGAAAATACACCTTGCCGATAATCAATAATCTTTTTGGGGAAAAAAAACAAAAAAAACAAATTACTATTCATTGTTTGACTATAGAGGGCAGGTATGTTAACTGAAGCATCACCATTATATATCGAGTTGCTGTGAGGAACGGCGAGGGGCCAATGTTTGTCTTGAACGAGATTTACAGAGATCAACATATTCTGGCTTGCAAGTAGATAACATTCCTGACAAATCAATCGCAACGACCCAGTAATGCAGGTGATCAAATACCACCAAATGACTTCATAGAAAGTGACGTGTACAGTTTCTCGACTTCGTAGAAAACCGGAAGTTCCTTGTTGTTGTGATTAGGTAGTGACCTCGGTCACTCAGACGTGTTTTCCCAGTATGCTATTTTGAGTAGCTGCTCTTTGAGACCATCTCACGGAAGATTTATTTGTTCCACAGCATGTGAATTGTTTCTACATAGACACTGTTTACGCTTGAGATTGAATGTAACGTTATTGTCGAACGCACCCGCCCAAGATTTAACTTTTCTGCGAGTGCGACGAACGTGGATTTTCCAGGAGTTATACTTTTATTGCGTATGAACGGAATAGAATTGCGTGACAAAGTACTTGTAGATCACTGAATACTAGTAGATAGCCTCTGTGGACCAAATGCCGATGGGTGAGTATATGGATTAAATTCTTTCACTTCCACGGTAACACACGGAACTGTTTTTGTCCCGCATCTATGAATAATTGCATGTACGTCACTAGTGCGCAACAAACAAAACAAAACACCGTACAATGTGGACCATAGCTACAAAGTGCGGCACGTCGCGTCGATCAGGTGTCTCCCTGGCTCGATGTAGCGACACAACTGTTCAAAGAAACGTTACATTATTATTGTGTGTGTGTAATTTTTTAACAATAAGCACATACTCATCGACCTCATCGTTGTTAAGCTAATACTACGTATCTAAACATATTGCCTTTTAAGAATATTTCACGTGTATGCGAAGGTACATGTAAAGTTCGGTATACAATACGCCCACATTGTCTAATATAAATTTGCTCAGCACGTTTTTCGACCATGTAATTGTCAAAAATACCAGAAATCACACATGTTTGCACTTCAAGTTTAACAACATCACATTGATCTTATGTATTTAAATTATATTGAATATATAAACGACATTATTCCTTATTAATTTTATTCGCATAACAATGAGTTGTACACTTGTCAAATGAAAACTCTGGCAGATCTTGATTGTCTAGGTAATGTATGTACAATGAGTCACTTTTCTAGATGATCACAGATTTAGTAACCATGACTACACTCTCACATGCTTGCTTCAGATTTTCTTCGTCACTTGTTTCTTGTCGTATAATTTCTGTAAGCTGCTTTAGTTTTGCGAGAATAAATTTTGAGAGAAACTTTTAATTGAGGTCAGTCGCAGAAACAACATTTTGAAGATGTGCAGGAATTTTAATTTGAAAACACATTCTATGATTTCTGAGATAGTAGCATAGAAGAAATTATTTTAATTTGAAAACACATTCTATGATTTCTGAGATAGTAGCATAGGAGAAATTATTTTAATTTGAAAACATTCTATGATTTCTGAGATAGTAGCATAGGAGAAATTATTTTAATTTGAAAACACATTCTATGATTTCTGAGATAGTAGCATAGGAGAAATTATTTTAATTTGAAAACACATTCTATGATTTCTGAGATAGTAGCATAGAAGAAATTATTTTAATTTGAAAACACATTCTATGATTTCTGAGATAGTAGCATAGGAGAAATTATTTTAATTTGAAAACACATTCTATGATTTCTGAGATAGTAGCATAGAAGAAATTATTTTAATTTGAAAACACATTCTATGATTTCTGAGGTAGTAGCATAGAAGAAATTATTTTAATTTGAAAACACATTCTATGATTTCTGAGATAGTAGCATAGGAGAAATTATTTTAATTTGAAAACACATTCTATGATTTCTGAGATAGTAGCATAGGAGAAATTATTTTAATTTGAAAACACATTCTATGATTTCTGAGATAGTAGCATAGAAGAAATTATTTTAATTTTTAATTTAGTTCTTTACAGATTATTTCATTATTTTGAACTTTTATACAAAGAGAAAAAAACAATTTTTCACAAGTGAACCGGCCATGTAAACATTTTTTCCGTTAGAATACTATTATGTTTATCTCAAAAAAATTTTGTTTGTGACCCCAGTTGTTTATCACTATGACCTTATACATGATGTGTATATCAATATATACGTATATTATATTCACAATGCATCAGTAATTCCCAATAACTTTCATAAAAATGCAGAAATAATCCTGAAAAATATAATATCTTACTTGGTTTCAGTGTCATTATTTTGAATAATTTGTATATTAGCATTTAAATGCATATAATTGTACATCATAATTTTCATTTAAATGGCCATAAATAAAAAAAAATTTAAACTGACACTATTGTTTTTAAAATTCAAGCGTGACATGTTCAACCAGACGTAAAATCCTTCGAGAGGGAACAGAACTTCAAATTTCATGAATGCATCTATTGTAATACATTGTATAGGAATGCATCAGTATTCAGAAAACACACAATTTTAAAACTTAGTCTAATTCCTCAGGCTAACTGAAAATTCTAACAGAAATATATTTTTTAATTAAGGGGTTGGAGATTTAAAACCCCCAAAAATTTAAAAACCCTACACAGGAGAAAAAAAAACAAATTTGATATAAGCAAACCGCAAAATCTTTACTTTAATATCATTCACGACAAAACTTTAGCTTATCGTAAAGAAAATCAAATAATTTGTGTAGTTTTTTCCACTATCTCTTCTGCAAGAGTTTAAGTCAACTCCAAATCCAAAGTAGTGACCTTCACAGCGTGTGAAATTGGAGCCTTGAAATCCCAGTGAGATACTGTAAAATTACTAATTTTCACTGGGTTTAAATTTCGCTGATTTACCATTTCAGGATTATTCAGTGGGTTTTAAATTCATGGTTTTATCATTTAGATAACGTGTTCTATGCTAAATTTTACATATTAACTGGGTTTTAATTTAGCGCATTTTCCTGTCAGCGCAATAAGCGAAATTAAAACCCCGTGAATAATTAATCCTTTTACAGTATACAGCAATTCTATAAATACATTCCTCTTTTTTTAATTTCAACCCTGAATGATTCCACCAGTATGTTAGATATTTATAGTTAAGTCTTAGTTCTTTATAATCATGACAATTTTCTAATCTTCCATGTTGTAACAAAGTAGTTTAAAGTAAAGTTTATTAAAATCTGGTTTAGCCTAGATCTAGTAATGTTGTTTTTTTCCAGAATAATATTGAAATTTGAGAAGTTACAAATGTACATTGCATGCATATGTACATGTATGATGCATTTTTGACCTATTTTTCTGCTTTGTCAAGCTTACTAATACTCAATCAAATCAATATATAGATCCCAATACATGATTTGCCATTCACTATGAGATCTTGTGTATTGTGTGAAAATCGCGAACTGACCATCCGTCTGTCGCAAAAGTTAAATGATTTGATTTTGAACTTGAATTTCCTTTTGATAGCTCTTTCGAAATTTAGATTTTTTGAGAGAGCAAATATTGAATAACTTTAAAGACCGAAAAATACTCTTAAAATACTTTCGCGTTTGTTGAATTTTACGTGATGTTTTGACGTCACTACGACGCTATGACCTTTGACCTGTTTTTACATATGAACAGAAAATACTAGTTGTCTATTACTGTACTACAGTATCCCATAATGTGTTGCCATCAGCTTCTAAGATCCATTGCACTTTGCAGACATTTTAAACACCCTGGTCACCTGAGCTCACCCTTCAACCTTACATTACCATTTGCATTTACCCTAGTTTCAATCTTTACCCTCTGATACCTTTAAACTACTGTGGAATACTTTATTTTCGCTGAAAAGGCTTTTTTGGCGTTTTGTATGGAATTTATTTTCACTGATTTTTGATGAGTTTAATGTGAAATATAGAAAAAAAAGTATATTCGCTGGATTTTATTTTCACAGAGTCTTCCCTTCAGCGAAAATAGCGAAAATAAATTCCAAGCGAAAATAAAGTATTCTACAGTAGGCTATAATTCAGGCCACTCCCTGTTTATCTTCTTTAGTCTATTGAACCTTTTCTTGGGTCTAGAAAAACTTGTACAGACTGAGTATGCTTGGTTTATTATATTACGGATATTGTGAACTGAGATGAAACCAAAGTCATTCTGTTTTAGTATAAACACAGGATATGAAAACACTGTTCTTCCTGGTCTGCTATCATAATCCAATCACTGTGTAGGTCTCATTACTAAGAATACTGGTAGCTGCAACGCAATGTCCTTCTAGTATGGGTCGGCAACTCTAAGGCATGTACAGTATAATAATTAATACATTCAGACTGCGATCTACAATGTATGCCAACACAATGTCTGATCTCGTTTATTGGCATTTATGCACGTGATATATCGATATTTACCATTACAATCCACTCAGTTCACATGTACGTTGTTTGTTGTGAGCGTCATCATAATTGTCTCAAAATAAGATTTGGTCAAAAACTTTTCTGGATATCGAATTCATATATTAATAAGGGCTATTATTATACATCTGTCACCGTAACGTCTTAGGTTACAGCGTGCCGTAATTTTGCGGTATTTTATAGGGTATTTTCTACCTACCATATAAGGAAATGCGAATTCCAAATATGGAATAATTATGCGCATAAGCGTCCTCTAATAATAAAAACAAACTGGCTGCCACCAGGGTTTGACCGACTCCACACAAAGAAGTTCGCTGATTCTGGTCTGAACATTTTGGATTTCTGCATTCCCCTGATGTATCCTTGGAAGGAGAAGATGTATATTATATAATAAGGTTATTACAATGATACCTCAAAGTGTGCACTCACTCTACACCGTCGCATAAACCTCCACTGCGCGTCGGTCGATACTCCCGCTGTACTGTCTTCGTGCATACTTTGAGGTTATCCACGTAATAACCTAACATGATTAGAAATGGCAATGTCTGTGTATATGCATCTCTAAAAACATATTCCACTTATGGCAAATATCTTAAATTACCTGTATTACAGCACTGTACATCAACTAATCAGGCCAACAATAGCCCTTTGGTTATCAGGGGTGGGATATCAAAAATACCCAATTGGCTGTATTACATTGAACAGGCATGATACATTGGATTAACAAAATTATGAGTTGATCAGCGTTTTCCCCTTCATCTGCAGAGCATACAAAGTTGCAATGGTGATTTTGAATCAATGAAAGTCAATGAAAATTCAATGAAAATTTAATGAAAATTCAATGAAAACTGAAAGAACAATCGATTTTAATCAATGTATTTGAACTTGACCTTACATGCTGTTACATAAATTTGGAAAATTTCACATACATGCTACACAGTATTAAAAAAACAAAACATCAAAGACTCGTTCTTTCCCCGCAAATATTTACTTGTACCCCTTCAACTGGCCAATGAGTGTCCTTGAATTTTCATGGTTATATACCAGTACTGCAACTTGGTTTAAATATAGCATGGTATATTAACTAGTACATAATGTGAAACAGTGTGCCCTCTTAAACATTTCAAGACTCATTTTGCAGAAGTCTTGAATCACAATGGGATTTCAATAATCAGGTTGAGTCACCTTGGTAACTGCTTGAGGGAGAGGTACATGTATTGAAAGCAAAATAAAAATTGTACGTGGGTGTATGAAGTTTCTAAAGTCACAGACTGAACTGACAATGTTGTATTATAAATTCCAAGTATAGTAAGACGTTTTTCGAGATCACTACATATATATCAATCTAAAATTTTTTGTTGCGTCATCGGCATGCCAAGGAAATGCGCATAATTGTGTTACAACTAATCTGAAGATGTCAATGACACATCATATCTGGTTAGAGGCTACACTGATGACAAACATTTGTGAATATGATTTGAAATATTATATCAAAAAAGAGATGTTGTTAATTTTCAGTTATGTACCACATGCAATGGTTACTGGACATGCTGAGACACTGTGCTAAATGATTACACTCTGACAAGACGGTGGTCTCTTTGAGTTTTGTATATGTTTGATGTTCAAACCCATCAAGAGAAAACAAATATACGAATCAGTGTATCAATGTAACTGAACTTTGTTTAGATTCGCAGAGATTTTTGAGGTCACTAAAATTAATAATTATTTGTTATTAAAGATGCTATATAGATAAGTATTTTTGATCAAATTTAAATAAATGTGTTTACTTTACTGCATCTAAAGAGAAATAATAAATATATCAGTATGATTTGTTGGGAAATATAAATATTCTTTGAAAGCAAACGTAGCAGTATTTGTTGGAATAAATGATGTAAAATGCAAATGGTTCCCAGATTTCCATCCACAGCTGTTCTCAGTTTTGTGCTGAACTCGTAACAACCTTGGGAGGTGGTACGGTATAAGTTTGAATATCTTGTAAACAAACCATGCATTTTAAAATGCAGATCATATACAGCGTCGCGTAGGTCTTGTATACCGAACACGTGGAGGACTGTCAACATGAACCAGACCTTGTTTTTGAATTGTCTATTTAATTTAATTTGCAATCTACAATTTAAACAAAATCATTCAATATACCCATTGCTGTTTGCGCATACAATTTTATGCTGTACTAATACCCTAGTAACTGACATGGGTTGAATATTAAATTAAAAATTAACGAAAAATGGCAATTAATCTCATAAATTAGCTACTGTTTACTGTATGATTCACAGTCATCTTCTGAGTGTCTGATTGGCTGGTATTTTTAGTGCAAAGTTCACGACCTATAACATCCATTCGGTTGTTTCTTTATGTGATATTATGATACCTTAACATACGTGTACCTGCATGCACAATGTGCTGGTGGTCTGCCTCACAGTTACGGTCTAAAGACGTTATACAATTACTCATCTTCAATAAATTGTTGTTTGGTTCCTTCTCTGATTGGTATGTTAAAAACACTGCAATGTTGTTGCTTTTGTACATACATGTATACCATAATCCTTTCATTGGTTGGCCCGCCATGTTTGTACCGAAACAATATTTTCTGTTTGAACTTTCAGTTTGACCACCTTGCAGGAAATGGACCAGATGCTATCTGGTTGTTTATTTTTATTTGCGTCCTTGCGTTTCCATGTTTTGCTCTTTTCTTTAGTTTCAATATTGACATCTTCAATTCTACAACCACTGAAAAAAAAAAGTCTGCTTACAACCCTTTAAAAAATATAATTTGTCCTTGGATAATTCAGTCACATAAAATAATTTGATATGGTTCCGTAAATGGTAGTATATGTAGTATTTTTTGTGTGGACTCAAATGGTTATTATGTTATCCCTCTAAATATGCAAAAACTGAATACTGTAAAATACTTTATTTTAGCTAGAATTAATTTTCGCTGAAAAGACTTTTTGGGTTTTTTGTATGGAATTTATTTTCACTGATTTTTGACAAGTTGAATGTAAAATATAGAGAAAAAAAAGTATATTCGCTGGATTTTATTTTCACGGAATCATCCTTTCAGCGAAAATAGCGAAAATAAATTCCAAGCGAAAATAAAGTATTCTACAGTATGCAAAAACTGAATACTGTAAAATACTTTATTTTAGCTAGAATTAATTTTCGCTGAAAAGACTTTTTGGGTGTTTTGTATGGAATTTATTTTCACTGATTTTTGACAAGTTGAATGTAAAATATAGAAAAAAAAGTTACTAGTATATTCGCTGGATTTTATTTTTACTTGATCATTCCTTCAGCAAAAATTGCACAAATTAATTCTAAGCGAAAATAAAGTATTCTACAGTATGCAAACAATACTGAAATTATTGTGAGAAAAATGATGGTTCTTAAAAAGCATTTACAAAAAGTAAATTAAAGTTAAAAAGTATTTCCTGGCTTTATTTAAAAATCGACATGCACAATTCAAAACATAATAAATATTCATATATTTATTGTGGTTATGTTTGCACATGTTCTGTTCATACTTGTCACGTACGTGTACAATATTACCAGTATGTTTTTAAAAATTAAAAATTCTTCTGGGAGTACATGTACTCTATACGCTAGAAATACAAACATATATTTCAATATTAATACTGATTTTAAATATTAGTATTTACATGTGATTTATGATATATCAATAATTACTCATCAGTCAGCTGATACAGTCAGGTATGGAAACTATGCCGTGAGACATCTTGAGGGTTAATTATTTACTCAAAGCGAGAAGATGTATATCAGCATCCCTTTCTTTATACTTAAATTTTATTTTCACATGCTTGCTCGGCAGCCACACATCGCGAAGCATTCTTGAATTAGCATTTAATAAGCACCGTGGTTGGTACGTCACATTTGTCACATGTTATCTGATATTCCACCGGCCGGGGAACACGGCTTTATCAGTGCTATGTACACACAGATTGGCGTAATTGACAGTTTTACCTCGCATCCACACTTGTGTCTGTTCAAATCAGCTGTGTGTACATAGTACACCTACTCGAAAGCATGTCAGATATTTGAAAAAGAACAAAACAACTGCCAACGTTAGTTGTTATGATTGACTATTCTTGTATTAAGTTCAACTATTTTAAATTGTAATTATGAATTTAGGAATACGAGGTAAGACAGTCATCATAACTTTGTACAACAACTCGTGGTTCGCAAAATGTGTCCAGTACTCAATTTTATTTTTATTTCTTGCATTGCAGGAAGAAACAAGATGGCTGCCGTCAGCCCAAGTCAGATCAAAACACTGTGCAGGAAAGCAAAGGTATGGTAACCAGAAAAACAATGTGACCCCCGACCTGAGCAGTTGCTTGGTCCCTATTATCTCGGCTGAATGGATATTCAGAATAGAATGGGATTTCTAGTTCCTCTATTGTACTGCATTGTGTGTTATGTCACTTAGGAATGTAATCGTTATAGTGTAATTTTGAGTGCATTAAGAGAGGTACCGTCAAATAATCTTTTTAGAATTCTCTCCTTATTTAATATCATGGTCTCAACTTGAATTGTGTTTTATTTCTGTCCATGTCGGTTGTGGTAATCAATGAACTTCCAAATGTTATCAGGTTATCGGCAATTAGTATCCACATGTAACTAAGTGACTGTAATATTACATGTAGCTGCCTCAATCTGTATAATCTGATAACTTTTTGGTGTTAAGTACTTTAATAATAAAGATATCTATAAAGTTGATTAATATTAGATAATATCTGATAGAAATGAAAATACTCCGATGGAATCTGATAGATTCAATTATTTAAAACATTGTAAAATCCATCAAATGACATTTAACCTTTCATCTCTCAACCATTTGATCTTCAACCTTTCAAACCTCAGAGCCAACTTTTGTCACATTTTAACAAAATGCCCAAATTTTTATTTTATTTTTGAGACAAAATTAATGACTAAATTACAGACAAAATGCATAAAAATGTGTGAAATCTTGGCGAGAAAAATAATGGTGTTCTGCGAGTTGGCCATTACATTTTTACTGCTAGAAATGTTCCCTATTCTGTACTTTAAGAGCGTTTGCAAAAACAAAAACATTGCTTCTGCAGTAACTACCTGTCAAAATCTGAGACCCGAGTGAAATCAATATTTTGTGAATATTCTTGACCTAACAAAATCTGCAAAAAATAGTCTTAAAAATTAATTACAGTATTTATTACTAACATGTATCAGAGAATGAATCTTATGTGAAACGTTACAGTCTGGTAGATTATTCTGTGTTTATGTGTTGTTTATTTACACGCTTGAATGTTTTGCCCACAAGCAGGTCTGCTTGTACAGTCTTTAAAGAGATTGCATGTCACACCCCTAAAAATTACTGATATTTTACAGATACACATAAAACATTGTGTGCGTGTGAAAACTACCAACCATATCCTGTACCCTTAACACCCACAGAATAGACCTTAGTCACAAATGGTCGTAGAGATCTCTTTTAGAGCCCCCAGCTCATCCCTCAGCCCCGATACTAGTAGTGCTCCATTCTCATCTTGTCCACTGTGTTTCGAACAGTGGATGTGATTGCGGTACAAAATGAAACACTTTAAGAAGCAAAGTTGCGTGGTTCTCCTCTCTAGTTAACATAAAAAAATACAATGTCTAGTTTAAGCTGTTCTCCAAAATTCTTCAAAGCATTGTCATTAGTTTTAGATTGATATTTAAATTTTCATGAAAATTTAAGTTTTCTTTCATTTTTTGTGAAAGTCTGACAAAAAATCTTAACATAGGTGTGACCTGTACATTTTTAAAATGGTATGTGCAGTGACTGGTGGCTTAATACTTAGTTCAGACCTTATGGGCTTTTATGATGTATACATTACATGTTATAGGTGACTTTGTTGGCACATAGGAGCTCACTGTGTTCTACCTAAGCTGCATTACCCAGGGTAAACAGTGACTATATAACAATACGCAGTACACACTTCCTGAAAGTTATGAATCGATTATCATTATTTTCTGAAATAAGTTATTCTGTACGTGTGATTCTTTATCAACGAAGTCGGATTCCACTGATTCTATCACTTGATGCTAAAAATGTGAAATTTTATATTTATATTAAAAACTCAAATTGCCTGTCCATTAATCAGGTTGGAGAAAGGAAAGGTGCCTGTCCTATTTGATGGTGTAAATTCAATTTATTGAATATTCAAAATATATCAGTCATTTCTTTGTTGCCAACTTTAGTACCAGGGTAATTTGAACGAGTGTTAAGACAGTGTATGGTTTGATTTGTGTACGATTGACGTACAAATTGAAATATCTATAATTTACACAAAAAGAGAAAATGATGGTTATAAATAGTCCCACAGTCTCGCTCACATCGAAAGTCATGTGGGCTCAAACATGTATAAAATAGCACTAGCAACGGAAACAGACGAGAAATGCATACATATGTTTGAAAGAATATTATGTAAATTATTATATAGTCTCAAATTATCACCGCGCAATTAAAAAAACAAATAAAATCCCTGAAACAAGGACGTTGATGTTATTATTTTTAATCATTGCTCTTTGACTTTCCGTGCATTCACTTATGTGTTAAGGAACTGTCATGCACACTATGAAAGCCATGAATTCCACAGATATACTAAATTGATCTCTGCTTTTCCACATTAAAATATTGTTAAATTAACTGAAATTGCTATATATCAACATTTGCATGAATTATAGTTATTTCAATGGGAGTATCAAGCGTATGTGAATCATGCATGCATTGAACGCAAATCATACGCGAATCAATCCATACACTGTCTTCACACTCATGTAAATTGTAAATTTCCCTTTTGATCATTGAAATCTTATCTTATTCACATATCCACGAGGACAATTTTGATATTTTAAATTTTTTTGAACGTGATTTGGCAGCAATTTAAATTTTCTCATTCAATCAAAACTTAACAGCTTTCATTGAAGGTGAAATCAGACTATCTGGGCCCAGCAGGCCTTAATTTTAAATCCTGGATCATGGTTTTCAATTGAGACATATCTTTTTTCAATGTGTTTATTTCCTCATTACAGAAACTGTAAAAAAAAGTTGGGCAACCAGCCACTAGAATCCAGAGATTTGCGTCAATCCATAATTAGGGTTGAACAGATTAATATGGTTCATGTTAAAAACTATTTATTACAGGTAACTTTGTTTGTAAGATTGTTATTTACAAATACATTTTTATTTTCAGTACAAAGATGAGACAAAAGTGATTGAAGATCTGCGACCTGTATTTCAGAGATTTCCGACGTTGAAGTTACTCGTGGAAAATTATGGTAGGTGATTATTTTTTTATTTAAATTTTTTTCACGAATTTTTTTCAGACAAAAGGAAATAAATAAAGAAAACGTGACTTAAATGGACAGAGCAAAATAGAAAAAAATAACTGGTTTTGTGTGTTAGCAGATGACTCCCTCTTTCAATAGTGACTGGCAATAGTTGAAATACACAGTTTAATCAACAATTAACTGTGAATAAGAAGATGTGGATGAAATCAAACATAACCCCAATTGACGACTTACCTTATAGAATGCATACCAGTTTGTTATGAGTCTGCCTCAGTTGAGGAAGTAAATATCGGTTAATTTGTCCAGTCAAGTAAAACATAAACATGCTGTCTATTGTTACGATATCGCAGGTGAAGGGGTACGTAATATGGGATGATCTTTGTCAGGGCAAGGACAGTGCTTTCAAAATCACTACAAAGAAGTATTGTGGCAATTCTGTTTGAACTTGCCACTTCAGCAGTTTGTGCGATTACATTTTCATTGTTGGTGAAAGCTAACATATTCCCACCTGGTGAATCACATTCTATTGGTTAGAAAACTAAAGTGCTGAGACTCACTTGCGAGAATTCGAAATTATTTCATTTTGTTGGGAGTTAAGTAAACTGTTAAGTAATCTTACCAACTACAATGAGAATAAAAAGGAATTTGCACAAATTGAAAAAAGTTATTTCACATAAGTTCTGTTACTGTCACTTGGAATTAATTTCAGCTATTTTTGCTGAAGGAATAATTCATTGAAAATAAAATCCAGCGAATTTACTAGTACCTTTTTTCTTATAGTTTACATTCAACTTGTTCAAAATCAATTAAAATAAAACACCTAAAAAGGTCTTTTCAGCGAAAATTAATTCCAGCTAAAATAAAATATTTTATTGTAATCTGTATTTTTTTCTCAGTGATTACCTCATCATCAAAGCAAACATACTGGGTACTTATCTTCCTGGCCTTGGTACCTTGGATCCTTGGTACATGTACCTTGCATCGTGCACAGTCTATTATATTATAACACCAAAGAATGCAGAAGCAAACACGTCCAGATCAACAAAAAACACTCAGTTATTTATTCTTGAGATCTTGATTCAAAAATGATTATGGATAGATTCATAAATTTGAGTATATGATTTAAAAAAGGCAGAAAAGGTATAAAATCATTCCCTTGGTGGGGGGGGGGGGGTCTGAGGGAACTCATTTTCCAGGCATAGTCTTTGAAATTGTGATAAAAATATTTGATTATTTTGAATGGGCATAATTTTAAAAAAAATGCCTTGAGGTCATTGAAATTATGAAGAAAATGTTATTTTGAAAGGAGATCAAAGCAACTAGGCATTCACCTTTACGGTCTCATTAATTTTGAGTCCTGCTATATCTGTCTGATTATAAGCTGATGTTGGTGAAAGCTCATTTCTGCTTGCAGGTTTACATCATGCCTATTCACATCTGTAGTGTTCAATAAGTTTTCCTCTGGTGGAAATGTAAAAAAAATAGACAAGTTTTGAGTTCCAATATTACCTTAAAAAATTACTAGCTCTGGTGTAAATACATTTCAATTTCGTCTGCTTGGGGGTGGGGTTGATTTTGCTGTGTAAACGTTCACCAGCTCATCAGAATGATCTCAGAATCAGGGAAACCAGTGAACAAATTCCCCGAGCAAGAAATCAACAACCCCCCTCCCCCCATTATTGCATTGGAAACCAACTGATGCCACACTACAACTCAAAACTTGTTTATTAGTCACAGAATTCTGATGTAAAAAGATGTAAATGTATAGATAAATAACTTTCTCTAATTTTTGTCTAGGATCATACTACCCTGAAATTGGTGGTTAACGTTACAACTGTCATTTATGTGTCAATGTTGTCATGATTCATTATTATTTTTTGTCTCATTTCAGTATTTACTGACGGTAGTGAGAAGACTCTGCTTAATTTAGCAGGCACTGTACCGGTCTGTTTTCAAGGTAAATTTTATTCGTATTCTGGTCAGTCATGTGAAAACTTTGATCACCATACACTTGTCTGTGCAACAATTTCTCTATTTTTAGCTCCGCTGTCGACTTTGTCGAGCGGAGCTTTTCATATGAGTGGTTGTCCGTTGTCGTCCGTCGTCGTCGTCCGTGTGAATGTTTTATTTTTTCAAATTCTTCTTGAAAACTACAAGCCTGAATGCTTTGATACTTGGTGTATGTGTACCTTGGGTAGACCTCTCTTAGATTTGTTCATTTCATGATGATATCTTCAGTTCTCTAATTTTGGTGAATATTTTTGTCATTTTTGGTAAAAAGTGATATTTTCAACTTCTTGTTGAAAACCGCAAGTCTGATTGTTTTGATACTATACATATTGTTCATTTTCTAATGATATCTTCTGTTCTTTAATTGAAATGTGTATTGCTAACAGCGGAGCTATCTCAGCCGAGAGGCTGCTTGTTACGTAATTTTCTATATATTTTTTTTTGTTGACCAAATAAAGATAATTTTCCATTAGCTAAAAGCTTGATCAAAATTGTCAAAACATTCTGGAAGAATGTTTGTGGGTTGTGAATAGTTACAAAATTTGAATTTGATTTTAATCGGATCAAGTGTCTCAAGTTTGTATGAAAAGCGAAAACAAGTACGGTAATTGCTGAAAAATAAATAGTTTTTGCAGTACTGTATTTGCGCTATTAGTAGCACACGTGCTTATATAAATGACAGAGGCAGGTCTGTCACAAAAATAAAATACTTGAATATTCCAGTATGTATTTATTGCAATTTTTTATTTATATGCACTTCTTTTAGAGATGTTCTAACAAATACAGTAATTCATAATAGTAATTTCTGTATTAAAGCGGGAGGTCGTCACCTGCGCACACACGGGAATTGAGTCCCAAGCAACAATAACAACACACATTAAAAACGCAATGGCTCATGAGTAGACGCTTGTTTGTAAACAAAGACACGCTATGACCATTTGACGCATGTGCAGGTGACAACACTGCTTTAATCTGAATAAAAAAATTTACCTTACCATTATCAGTCAGTATTATGACTTGGTTAACTGTTTATTCTTCAAATGCAGGTAACAATTACAATATACCAATACGTATATGGTTCGAAAGAACGCATCCAGAAGATGGGCCGATTTGTTACGTAGAACCGACTAGTGATATGTACGTGGAACCGTCACAGTATGTGGACAGAGAGGGGAAAATATATCTTCCTTACTTACATGAATGGAATTATGTAAGTATATATATATATATATATATAATTCTTATGTTTATTAACTTTTTATGTGTATCATATTTATTATTGTAATTTTTTTTTTTTTATACATGTATATAATATCTACATTAATTGGTGTTCTACCCAGAATACAAACAGGGTCACGGTCTCGTCACAATGATTTGGTCAACCACCACACCGACCGCCACACCGCCACAGTCATTATCCTGACTGCCACTGTGCCACTGACTTTTTAAATCAAAATGATAATTTGCGGAAAAATCATGTGTAGTAGTTGTACTACTCTTGATGTAATTAATAAATAATATGCAAATTAGTAAGTAAATTGTAACCATCATGGTGGTTTAAATTTCTGGGATGTTTGTTAGTCTCATAGCGACAGACATAACGCGTGTAAAATACATTGTTTGTTTAAGTTAAATTCAAACACGACTACGCGACAACCACCGCACTTTAATTATTATCAAACCTACTTTTTACCTTGCCCGTACCATCAAAGATGGAAGGGAAAGGTATATTAAGGGAAAAATTTTGTTCGTCGTCGTTGTTGTTGTTGTTGTCGTCATCGTCGTCGTTAATAATTGTTATTGTGTGCATAATAACTTTACTAATTCTATTCCAAACTTCATCAAACTTGGTCACCTTATTCATCAGTATAAAGTCTTCCCTGAGTTTGAACAACAGATGTCCTGTATAAAAATATCATGCAAAAATTGAGAAAATCTGATAAAATATTTTGACTGTTTCTACTTGACTGATCACTGGTGATACATATCAAAGGTCACTGATCTCAGTGGAAATATGCATTGTTGTATGTGTTCAATGAAGCAAATGATTTATCTTGTAATAATATCCTTGGTAATGTATCTCAGAATCCCATACTGTGTTTCAAAACCAACTCATGGAGAGATTGCACAGTCTGATACACATTTGCAAACCTACCAATAAAATCTTTACAGAAAACAAGATGTCAGAAAATCAATATAAGCACTGCTA